TATGTAAATAGTTTGAATAAAACTTTGACTGGCAATGAGCTTTCTGCACTTTGAAGAGTGGAGCATATTCTAAAATACAATTGAGAATTCGACATCAAGACAAAGGTTCGGAGTTAAGATCAGTGGTGATAATGCCCTTTGAGTTTCTCGCCGGATCTTCTAAGTGGGTCGCGTTTCCGATCCGGTGGTAGATTCTGTGAAGCACTGCTCTTGCTAGGGCCAGTTTTAGCAACACTTCCGATTTGAGCCCCGAGAGCTCACCTACACGCTAGGGTAAAGCTGAAATAGCCCCTCAAGGCTATCAGCATAGGTAGGAACAAATAAAAAAAGACGATTGATTATCGCCTTTTTTTGTATTATTTAAGGGCTCTAGAAACAAAACACTTTGAGCTCGTTCCTCGGAAGATACGTAAAACCATTCAGCGGGAACACATTTCAGAGCCTATTAGATACCGTTGCGCTTCTACTGACGCTCAGACGAGATGGGCAGCAAAAGTACTGAAATTGATCTACTGAAATTGTAACGCCATCTATCCGCAGTAATTGGAAACTTTTGGAGCAGGCTACGAGCACACTGATTGGTTAGATTATACTCAACAATCGATAAACCTTATTTAAAATTGGGTAATGTAATGGAATGTAATACGGCTTTAGAAATAATCATTTAAGTAGCATTGCCAATAAAATTCTGAGGAACTTGTTTAATGTTTTTGATAGGGATGTATAGTGGTTTGAACGCGTTCACACAAACTGAGTGTTATTATAATGTTTTTATTATTGCTTAGATAGGTGGACGAGCTCACAGCCCACCTGTCCAGTAACCACTGGAGACCATAGACATCTACAACGTAAATGCCGACACCCACCTTGAGATATGAGTTCTAAGGTCTCAATATTACAACGACTGCCTTCAAACTGATACGCATTACTGCTTCACGGCAGAAATAGGCAGGGCGGTGGTACCTACCCGTGCGGACTCACAAGAGGTTCCACCANTAGGTGGACGAGCTCACAGCCCACCTGTCCAGTAACCACTGGAGACCATAGACATCTACAACGTAAATGCCGACACCCACCTTGAGATATGAGTTCTAAGGTCTCAATATTACAACGACTGCCTTCAAACTGATACGCATTACTGCTTCACGGCAGAAATAGGCAGGGCGGTGGTACCTACCCGTGCGGACTCACAAGAGGTTCCACCACCAGTAATTACGCAAATTATAATTTTGCGGGTTTGAGTTTGTTTGATTTTTATTACACGACGTTATTCCTTCACCGTGGAAGTCAATCGTGAACATTTGTTAAGTACGTATTTCATTAGAAAAATTGGTACCCCACCTGCGGGATTCGAACACCGGTGCATCGCTAGATACGAATGCACCGGACGTCTTATCCTTTAGGCCACGACGACTTCCACGTCACGGCTGCGACTATAGCACACTTTGTCTCTCATACGTAAATTGAAACGATTTTAAATTCTTGATTGTTTTGGCCGGTATTAGTTTTCATTGAAACATGATTCACATTAAACAGGATAAATAAAAAGATACCATTGGAAAAATGCGCTAGTTAAATAATACTTAAAAAAATATTTTAATTTTTCATATCTCTCTCTCTCTCTTGTGAGTCCACGCGGGTAGGTACCACCACCCTGCCTATTTCTGCCGTGAAGCAGTAGTGCGTTTCGGCTTGAAGGGTGGGGCAGCCGTTGTAACTATACTGAGACCTTAGAACTTATATCTCAAGGTGGGTGGCGCATTTACGTTGTAGATGTCTATGGCCTCCAGTAACCACTTAACACCAGGTGGGCTATGAGCTCGTCCAGCAATCTAACCAATAAATAAATAAATCCACAGTCGATGTCACTGTTTCAGTGATTACACCTCCAATTAAATTCTAAAAATGTTATTTCAGTTCGGTTGAATTTCGTAAGAGCCAACAGTCCCCCAAAGGGCAACTCAATTAATTAAAGGCAATTAGCCGCCCTTCCGGCTTCAACAAAAGGTAGAAAAACTCTGATCATTAATAAAACGACAAAAGGGGTATTTCTAGGTGTAGTACTGAATTTTAAAACTCCCTTTTGTTTCAGAGATGTACCGAAAATCGGGGGTAAATACTGAGGGATGTTTTCGTTCATCTTTTTTTTTAATTGATGCAGTAGAATAGATGTTTTCGCCACGATCGATTTTTGAGTCGCGTGTAGCTAGAATAGTCCCTTAGACTACCAACGAATACCTAGGGAACGATAAAGGGCGCGCAGTTTAAGGCAAATAATAATGAATATTCTTAATATAAATTAAATGCTAATAAAACAAAACTGCACCCAGCATTAACTTAACTATTTAACTGGTGGTAGAAACTCTTGTGAGTCCGCGCGGGTAGGTACCACCGAAGCAGTAATGCATTTCGGTTGGAAGGTCGGGGCAGCCGTTGTAACTATACTTGAGATCTTAGAACATATATCTCAAGGTGGGTAGCGCATTTAAGTTGTAGATGTATTGGCTCCAGAATCCACTTAACACCAGGTGGGCTGTGAACTCGTCCACCCATCTAAGCAAAAAAACAAAAAACTTAAATACGCTATTAACAATAACTTAAAAGAACACGCTAGTCTATTGGATCCCGCACGGGAAGAACCCAGCGTCCTATCTAACTCTGCCGAGATATAATCATTTTTTCAGGGTTGAAATACCTTTAAGGTACTTCATGTCTTAAGGTAGTGGCGTTCAAGTTTCGAAGTCCCTCCCAGTGGGTCCCTTAGCAGGGATGAGCTCTTCTGCTCACCTGAAGAGTGATTAGTGATTCTACCTAGTTATTGCTGCAATGGCTGCTCCGTCATACAATCTTTATGTGACGCCTGAACAAATACCATCGCACCGCCCGCCACCGGAGTAGAGTTCATCCGTACTACCTGGAGCCACTGCGGTCATCCACAGTGCGTTTCCAGGGATCTTTTTGTCACGTACCTTCCTCCGGCTTTGGAATGATCTCCCATCCACGGTGTTTCCTGAGCGCTATGATATGTCCTTCTTCAAACGAGGCTTGTGGAAAGGTCTTAAAGGTAGGCAGCAGCTTGGTTCTGCCCTTGGCATTGCTGAAGTCCATAGGCGATTATATCCACTTACCATCAGGAGGACCGTATGCTCGTCCGCCTACAAGGGCAATTAAAAAAAAAATTCGAATTATATTTTATTTTTGTAAATATCCGTTTCATTTTCATAATAGACCAATTTTTTTTACAGATATAGACTATGGGTACAACTCTACCAATAGTCGGATTTGCTTCGTAATGTTTTGATCAACGTACGCTGTCTGCCCTAGTAGCGGAAAACGTCGAGTCGCGGTATTCAAACATTTTAATATAATAACGTAATAATAGTCGTTCGTACAGGCACTTTCGCTAATTACAAGCTTTCAAAAGCACAGATTACGTTGACACTCGCTTATCCGGCCGCTACATCATTGGAAAAACGGGCGAAACTGTCATTTGTTACCGTTCGATTGACTGACCACGAATTTATTGGATTTTTTGTGTTCATTTTCTGGCAACTTTTTTTTGAGGGAAATTACCTAACTGGTATCATCATGTTTGGTGTTGTTTGTTCACCCACTTTGTTGTATTTAAATAATAACGTGGATAGTTTTATAGAATTTATTAAACACTAGCTGACCCGGCAGACTTCGTAGTGCCTTAATCGTTAAATAAAAGACCTAAACTTTTGTATAAAATAAACTTAAAACAAACAAAAGGAATCCGACCGACGGGGGACACATCAAAGGAAAAACAAAATTGTTATTTTTGTTTAATTCCGAGCGTTTTCATATTTATCTACCTTTTAAACCTTCTCTGGACTTCCACAAATAATTCAAGACCAAAATTAGCCAAATCGGTCCAGCCGTTATCGAGTTTTAGCGAGACTAACGAACAGCAATTCATTTTTATATATATAGATTACTTTAGTAGACACAAAAAATCTTTTAAAAAATTGCAGCAGTAATGGAGGGAAAATGCAATGATACAGATTATACCGATAAAATAGATTAACAAACTCAACAGGTGTTGTGTGATTGAAAAAGTATATTACCGAAATCTTTACACCGGAGTTGATGGCAGCTACAGATGTAACCATGGATGTTAACATCGCTACCGCTAAGATTGGTTTTTGAATTCGTGGGATACGAGGAGGTTAAACAGATTAATGAGGAATCAAACGTCTATCTCGTTGATAAATGGGTTATGGATGTATATTAAATATACGTATGTGTATAATAAAAATCTTTCATTTATTTCCGTTATCTGGTACCTGTAACAGAAGTTCTTTACGAACTTATCACGGGACCAGTTAACGTGGCGTGATTGTTAGTAAATATTTATTTATTTATAAATATGAGAGCACGTTCAAATCATCTAAGGTCCCCGGTACAGTCCTCTGCTCTCGCTAAAATTCGAGGGCCATTCTCGGACGTGGCAGAATATGAATCCAAAAATTGCTCATTGATCTGCTGAATCAAATTTGTTTGCCAACGGTAATGCCAAACGTAAAGATGGTGTGGCCTAGTTTAGAACTTTAAGGAGAACACTGAAGAAAGGAGTATAGATACTTTAAGATTTACATAAATTTTATGTATAACTTTTTCTTTTAATTTATGTTATTTAAAAAAATGATATGTCTATTTCTAAGTTTTTAATGATAACACAAAACCGAATCAATAAACACAATGAAGCTAAATGGACTGACGAACACAGAAGAAAATGTACAGTTTAAAAGAATCTCATTATCTCAACGACAACAAAAAAAAAACTTTAAGTTCGCCCTTCGCACGAACATAAACTCGCTTCGTCGCCAGTCAATCCTAAGTACACATCAGCAGCGTTTTAATCAGCACACAGATTATACATGTCCATTAAATAAGTAGCTATCAATTACCGAGCTTGTACTGATAATTTTTAACACATCGATAACGAACGATTCGGCAGTACACGTACGGCGGGCATCATGTGCGCTTGTAAGCAAAGGAAATCCTTTCTCATCGACGACATCCTTCAGGACGTGAGAACAAAGCCCTACGCGCCATTCAGAAACGAACCCACGAAGCCTTTGACGTGCACCAAGACGCAACCTAGCGAGAACAAAACTAAATCGAATCACGAAAACGCGGCCCGTCTCAACGCGGTATGTGAGGTTCGGAATGAAATGGAAATCGACAGAATGGCCTTCGAGCAGAGGAGGAACACGTATCCGTTACATCCCACGCCGATCAAACCGAACTTGACGTGGCCTCATCGGAAGGACCCGCTGTACTTGGAACCCCGTTTGGCATACTACAGTGACGCGGTGTTAAACAACAACCATTTATTGAGGAATCAGTTGGCTGCGAATAGATTTTTTTCACACCCGTACACGTTACGACAAGCATACGGCTTCGACAGAGGTAATTATGGACGAATTTAATTTAGCTATGGAAACAAACGTTAAGAAAAAAATATGTAGTAGATACGTAAAGAACTTTCCAAAGATAAATCTCGCGAATTTTTTGATGTTAATATTTAATAAAATTTTATCTTTGTTTGTTTACACTAGTAATTTTGTCACTTCGTACTTAAGAAAACTTTGATCTGATTGTCTTTGTATACATTAAAATTGTATTGTATAAATATAACTGCATTATAAGAAACTAAACGAACATCAAAACAATTGAAACAACTAACGCCATCTGCCGTCCTTCGTTAGAAACAAATGAACGATTAATTTTTTTAAAGGAAAAATAATGTATTCATATAATATACTAGTACATACTTATTTATTAGAGGATTTATTAATCTATCTAACCCTATCATCTATCTAATAATCTATCTAACCCTGTGATCGTGGCCGCTGGTAACTACATTCCCGATCCTGCGGATCGAATAGAAAGCAGTCGACGTCGCCCAAAACACGCCATATCGGATCCTCCCTTAGGTACCTACCTCAAGCACCGGTCACCATCCTCGTCGAACCCGTCGTTTGCGACGAAGGGCTCGGCGAATAGGTTAACCTATAGACACTGCCCACTGTGATTTTCGCCGGATCTTCTCAGTGGGTCGCGTTTCCGATGCGGTGGTAGATTCTCCGAAGAACTGCTTTTGCTAGGGCCAGTGTTAGCAACGATATCAGGTTTGAGCCTCTTGAGCTCACCTACTAGTTAAGGCTACGCTGAAATGGCATAGGTAGGAAAAAAAAATCAATGTATCTAATAACTTTTTTCATAATCCCGTTAGTTTTGTAAACCGAGTGAGCCCATGGACCTATGCGTTAACAACATAACGAGTTCTCTCTACATGGACGATGAAGTCGAATGTTAAGTGCTTAGCGAAGACATCAGATTGTCTTTTTTTTTATTACTTAGATGGGTGGACGAGCTCACAGCCCACCTGGTGTTAATTGGTTACTGGAGCTCATAGATATCTACAACGTAAATGCGCCACCCACCTTGAGATACAAGTTCTAAGGTCTCAAGTATAGTTACAACGGCTGCCCCACCCTTCAAACCGAAACGCATTACTGCTTTACGGCAGAAATAGGCAGGGTGGTTGTACCTACCCGGGCGGACTCACAAGAGGTCCTAGGGTTGTTTTCAATTTTACGGCCACAAAAGTAACGATTTCATGAATTTAAAATTTCTCTAATTTTCCATTTTTTTTGTATTTAGGCGTGTTCAGAATAAAAAATGCTTCATCACAATCAAGTCAATCACTCATTTATTGATAATATTATGTAATATTCATTTATATTTTTCATTTTACGCATATGATAACGCCAACACGGATGACAATTTAAATAGGAACTTGTTTAAAAAGCTTAGAAATCGTGCTTCTTTTGTTTTTAATAATGTTCTAATATCCAGTTAGTTTTCCTATATTATTGCATTATTGAAAAATAGCAAACAAGTTAAGAGTTTGAATTTTGAACCAGTGATACGAATGAGATTTGAGATAGTTTTTAAAGTATAACTCCTAACTTAACAGTGTTCACGAATATATAGTTATAGGACCACGTGCCTGTTGTCATGACAACAAATTTACTGCACTTATAATTACGGTAACATTAAGGTTACGAGAATTAAATCAAATAACTCGCCTTTGGCCCCAAATTTGACGTTTGAAGTACGTATTTCATTTGAAAAATTGGTACCCGCCTGCGGAATTCGAACACCGGTGCATCGCTACCTACGAATGCACCGGACGTCTTATCCTTTAGGCCACGACGACTATAATGCCTGCTCTATTAGGATGTATACAGGTTGGCTTTCGGAAAGGTCACATCCTCCAAACTTATTTTCAGACTACCGAGACTAATAGCTTCACTATCGGCTGCTGTCCAGTGTCAACTCTGTTTAAGAACAACATACCCGTGAGTAAATGAATGATTCTTATTGTTCTACAGTAAAATAAGCTCGAAATTCGAGGCTTTCCAACCGATGCTCACGACGCCTCCGATTTCGACTTTATTTTATTATAGAACGATAAGCATCATCCATTTACTCGAAAAACTAGAGTTATCAGAAAGTTGTGTCATTGATATCTTGACTACACAGGATATCCGCTAACATGATTCGCGATAGATTAATTTACAATTAATAGAGTAAGCTTTATAACATGTTAGGGCATTGTTCGGCGCATAAAAGCAGACTGATTTCTGCTTGAAAAGAAACGTATAACAATGCGCAGTATTTTACTCAAAACCAATGTCTTCCAGGCAACTAAGAATTTTTGCATTCTCTCTAACCCTATTACCTATATATTTAATAATCTCAGTACAGCTGTTTAGCTTAGGTATCGACTATTATCTAGTATCAAAACCTAAATCCGTTTTTATTCCTAAAGTGAAAAATCAATGATGGTATCCCGCATTGTTTTGAATGATACTTCTTGAAATGTGTTATTGAGGTACACGGGTAGATGAAATCACAGCCATAATCTTAGGTTATTAGAGCTGGACCACAATACAGCTGTTCCTGCTCACATCGAGAGACGAATTCAAAGTCCCAGGTCTGTTATACCAACGGCTATCTCACCCACAGACCAGAATGTGCACTCCAAATATAGATAAATGTCTTTTAATTGTGGACTTTATCGAATAAGCGTTAGTCCTTAGTCCTTCAGCCTAACCCATGCATCAGCTGAGTTTCTCGCCGAAACTTCTCAGCGGGTCGTGATTCCGATCCGGTAGAAGATCATTCGTGAATCAGCTGCTCTTGAGTTGTTAGGTCTCCTTCGGAGGCGCTCGGACAGCTGTTAGCAAATCTCACCCCTCTGGCTGAGCCTTTGCTCGCCCACCTGACCTGGTGAAACTGGAAAGGTCTCCGAGCCACCAGTAATCCTTGAATCATAAAAAAAAGTTTTTAGCGCGGCCTTTCTGCCACTTTCTTTTATTCTTCCCTCTTTAGCAAATACAAATTAAGTCATTTAGTTCCGTAGCGAATGATGCACTGTCTTTGTAGGTATTGGTATTGCCAGCTGTAGCTGTCAACATCGAGATAATAAATCACGTGGAAGTAAACTCAATAAGGATTATATAACATAATTGACTGGTGATTCGAAAATTTTATTTATGGTTCAGATTAAAACAATATTACTCATATACTAATAAAATAGGATAATACATATAATTGTGATCGCTAAACTAAAAATGTAAGTAATCGTATTTATCGTGAGTTGTAAATGCGTACAAGTATGACAGGTTTTTGACAATAAGTATTTCACAACAAAAACGGATGCGTGTGCCACTTAAATAATTGCACCCATTTTCATAAGTTAAGTTGCAAGTTGCTTAATTCAAACAAAACATTTTTCTAATTTTGGAAACTAAAATTTGATAAACAACTTTGTTTTTTACTTAATTACGTAACATAGTAAAATAAAAACCAATGCGTCGTGGGTGGTTTTAGAACTTGATTACTTTCCACAAATTTTATCTGCCCTCTAATTACCATCCATGTTGTCACGCGGCACTCCAATAACCCCTTTGCACCAGGCATACCATGGCCTCGCTCTCATCGAAGAAATAAGAGTCTTAAGTGACAAATCTAAGTGACATCACACACACACGACGCTAGTTTAATTGTTGCAAAGTGAATTCGTGGTACTCCTCTTGTTTCCCATGGGTTATGACGTGTCTTTCTTCAAACGCGGCTTGAAAACATTCCTCACTCGTAGGCAACTCGTTAACGGTACCTCTGGCATAACTGATAACTAAGTATCTCATACCTTGGAGAGCTATTGAAAAGAATTTCAGAAGGTCTACGACCATTCTGACTCGGAATACTTTCTGCGAAGTACCAATGAAACTCTGATCTTTTAATGAGTGAAAATTAACCGAAACTAAATGCGGAATTACATAATCCCGCTCAATGATTCTAAATAAATCAAAGAAGAAATATCTTCAAAATCGCGTGTTAATGAAAAATATTCTTGCGTTTTGTTACATATTTCGTTCAAAAAAAGTTACATCTCAATCTTACTTTTTTTTTAAATCGTGTAACTATTTTTTATAAGCTCCGTAAGAATCTAATCCATGAACAGATAATACTTTATCATTTTAAATACACATACAATATAGAAACGAATACATATCAATTATTGCTATCGATTGGTGCGATAAATTTTTTTGAAATATGTTACGATTTTTATGCTGTCAGCTATGTTATTGCGATAACGAAAATTTTCGTGTACTCAATTGCTTTTATATAATAAATACATCTAAATCACACGTTAGGTAATTTTCGGGTGATTATAAATCACTTCATTAAATCCGATCCGGTGTTTTCCGAGCGCTATGACATCTCCTTCTTCAAACGAGGCTTGCGGAGAGTACTTTATGGTAGGCAGCGGCTTGGCTCCGCCCCTGGCATTGCTGGCGTCCATGAGCGACGGCGACCACTTACCATCAGGTGGGCCGTATGCTCGTCTTCCTACAAAGGCAATAAAAAAAAATAAAAAAATTGGTTCCGCGCTTCTCGTGCATCTGAAGTATTAGAACTATAAAATTATTATAATCTATGGCATTATTTATAGATCTTTAAGTGATCCGTAGAATTAGGTACACTTAGGGGTGATGTGTCAACTAAAGGGAAACTTTAATTAAACGTAATTATGTTTTTTTTACGTTTTATCATACCAGTCGGGTAGTGAGCATCTGATGACCCGGCAGCTTCTGCAAATTTAAAACACAAGAAAATTAAAAAAAAAAGTTCTTTTTCGTTTACATAAGAACGACACGATAACTTTTTAGGCCAAAAACTCACAGATAATGTAAAAATATAACGAAAACAAGCCATATTGTTTGTATTGTCGATAAGATTAATTGATACGAACAAAACACAGTTTTTTAATAAAGATTTCCTTTTATCGATCGTTGTCTTCCGTTACCACAATTTCTTTGCAGGTAATGAGTAATGTAATTTATATCAGGCTTCTTACTGTTGCTGTACACACATGTGTTGTATCGCATATCTACTTTATTTCATCTATGCCATAGTAATAAAACTCTGAAAAATATTGTCTATGGATATTCGTTAAGAAAATACCAATTACTTCATAATCCTTGCAAACATAATTCTCTGACGTAGACCAAATAATAACAATAATAATAACCTAATACTAATTATGTATAACTTGATGTCTGTAACCATCCCTGAGCAAAAGGGTCGTAAGCTTCGAACAGACAAATAAATAGATAACAAAACGAACTCACAAGAGCCTTTTTTTTTCTTTGGATTCCAAACTTTTTTTATTGCTTATATCGTGGACGATCGCACTGCTCACCTGGTGTTAAGTGGTTACCGGAGTTCATAGACATCTAGAACGTAAATGTCGCCACACACCTTGAGACATGAGTTCTAAGACCTCCGTTTTTACAGTACAAAGGCTGCTTCGAACCGAAAAGTAACCTGCTTTAACAGCAGAAATAGGCAGGGTGGTGGTACCTACCCGCGCGGACTCACAAGAGGTCCTACCACCAGTAATTACGCAGATTATAATTTTGCGGGTTTGATTTTTATTACACGATGTTATTCCTTCATCGTGGAAGTCTTTCGTGAACATTTCATTGAAAAACTTGTTAGCTGCCTGCGGGATTCGAACACCGGTACTGTCACATCGCTCTATACGAATGCACCAAACGTCTTGTGCTTTAGGCCACGACGAATTAGGAGGGAAACTTTAATAAATTTCATTTGTATTCCAGTGCCCTCGAATTGCTGTAATCCGTGGTGGGGTTTGGGGGGGCGGAGGAAAGGTGGCCAAGTTCGGTTCACGGCCGCTCAGACAGGCGCCTTGGAGCGTCGCTTCAACGCCAGCAAGTATCTCAGTCCAGACGAGAGACGAGCTCTCGCCACAACCTTGCGGCTTAGTGACAGACAGGTGAATGTTGCGATAATTATCGAGATGAGACGGTGTGAAAAAACACAGGCAGACATTTTGAGTTCTTTGTAGTTCGTTATATGTTGGTTTACTCAACCCTGGTTGGTTACTATGAAGTCGTCGTGGCCTAAAGGATAAGACGCCCGGCGCATTCGTACGTAGCGATGCACCGGTGTTCGAATCCCGCAGGCGGGTACCAATTTTTCTAATGAAATACGTACTTAACGAATGTTCTCGATTGACTTCCACGGTGAAGGAATAACATCGTGTAATAAAAATCAAACCCGCAAAATTATAATTTGCGTAATCGCTGGTCGTAGGACCTCTTGTGAGTCCACACGGGTAGGTACGCACGGGTAGGTACCACCACCCCACCTATTTCTACCGTGAAGCAGTAATGCGTTTCTGTTTGAAGAGCGAGGCAGTCTTTGTACTGTAAAAATTGAGACTTAGAACTCATATCCCAAGGCGGGTGGCGGCACTTATGTTGATGATGTCGGGTTAAGGTAACCACTTAACACCGGGCGGGCCGTGAGCTCCTCCATCTACCTAAGCAACAAAAAAAAACCGTTATCAAAAATCATGAATAAAATCAATATTTGGTGCACAATTCGATAAGTTCGTATGCCGATTGATTACCATCGAAACAAAGTCATTCGCAATACCTATCGAAAACAATCATATTAATATGTTTTGAAATTGGTTATGTTCTTTCTAAATTATAATTTGGGTAATTACTGGTGGTAGGACCTCTTGTGAGTCCGCACGGGTAGGTACCACCGCCCCGCCTATTTCTGCCGTGAAGCAGTAATGCGTTTCGGTTTGAAAGGTGGGGCAGCCGTTGTGACTATACTGAAACCTTAGAACTATATCTCAAGGTGTGTGGCGCATTTACGTTGTAGATGTCTATGGGCTCCAGTAACCACTTAACACCAGGTNGTAATTACTGGTGGTAGGACCTCTTGTGAGTCCGCACGGGTAGGTACCACCGCCCCGCCTATTTCTGCCGTGAAGCAGTAATGCGTTTCGGTTTGAAAGGTGGGGCAGCCGTTGTGACTATACTGAAACCTTAGAACTATATCTCAAGGTGTGTGGCGCATTTACGTTGTAGATGTCTATGGGCTCCAGTAACCACTTAACACCAGGTGGGCTGTGAGCTCGTCCACACATCTAAGCAATAAAAAAAATAAAAATTTAAGATTAGCTCGTCCGTCTTCGAACAAGCTTATCTTAGCTTTTTACTAATGGTAGGACCTCTTATGAGTTTGCAAGGGTAGGTACCACCACCCTTTACCAAATTATTACTAATGCGTTTCGGTTTGAAGGGTGGGGCAGCCGTTGTAACTATACTGAGACCTTAGAACTCATATCTCAAGGTGGGCGGCGGCATTTACATTGTAGATGTCTGGGCTCCTGCAATGCTCCGGCTATGCAATAAATAAATAAAGAGGTAGATAAATTTTAAAAATGCCTGTAAAATTTCAATAGCAAAATTTATTTTTCAGGTAAAGACGTGGTTTCAAAACAGGCGCGCCAAGTGGCGTCGCACCACGCCGGACGCGGCCGACGCCGGCAGCCCGCCCACCGCAGACGAGGGTTCCGATGACGAGGTCCACATCGCTGATGACGAATGACTACGAATGACTGACCGACGGGATACCCCCCCTCGGGACCGGGCACGTAGACACGTGACGTCACAAAGGGTGCAGTCGTTCCCGGCATGGCAATCAACATCGCTACTGTAGCCTAAGCCGAATACAACATTACTTGTCGCGATTCCGATCCGGTGGTAGATTCATTCGCGAAGCAGTTGTTCTTGAGTTGTTAGGTCTCCTTCTGGCTGAGCCTTTGCTCGCCCACCTGTTTTGGTGAAACTGGAAAGGCCTCTGAGCCACCAGTAATCTCTCATCCATAAAAAAAAATTACTTGACAAAGCCACGTATAAAATAGTAGTTGAAGGATACTGTATAGGGAGTAATGTGACGCGAAACTACCCTGGGGANATTCATTCGCGAAGCAGTTGTTCTTGAGTTGTTAGGTCTCCTTCTGGCTGAGCCTTTGCTCGCCCACCTGTTTTGGTGAAACTGGAAAGGCCTCTGAGCCACCAGTAATCTCTCATCCATAAAAAAAAATTACTTGACAAAGCCACGTATAAAATAGTAGTTGAAGGATACTGTATAGGGAGTAATGTGACGCGAAACTACCCTGGGGACGTCCCTGACGTTTCCTTGATACCGTGGGGCAGATGATGTATCAAATAACTTTTATTAGAAGGGCGGGCGGCAGGCTTACGATACAAACGAGACTGCGACCTCATGTTTAATTATGGGCGCTGACATCCACGTCGGGAGTCTGCGGATTCCTGTGCATCAGGTGGACCACGTGGACCGTTAGCCTATTCACCCAATGTAAAAAACACACCCTGTATGTATGCAGTGAGACTGCCCGAGTGAAGCCGCCTTCTCGCTTGTGCCCCCTCGGGTAGTTAAGCATGTTAAGTATTTAGGAGTAAGAATTAATTATAATAAAATATTATAACAGATTTTGGTTTATTTTTTTAATGAATCTGATTAAGAAATGATTGACGTCGCACAGTGGGTCGATACTATGATCCGGGGATAACGAAAGCGATTGGTAAATTTGTTCAATGCGTCTTCGTTTTTGCCTGGATCCCAATTCTTCAAAAGGTTTTCGAGGTGTAAAAATAGATGTCGAGGCTTCTGTAGTACATTTGAGGGTGGTACATTTTCAACATCTTCAGTATTAGAAATCTCGAGCCTTTCCTGTGCAGTGTTGATAGCTTCAGGTATCAACATTGCACTGGTTCCTTCGGGCCAGTTTACTGCACATTCTAACCAATCACATTTTTTTCTTATAAACTGTGCTAGCATGCGACTACTTCGTTTCCATATTGCACTATTAGAACAAAATTGCATACAGAATTTTTGGAGCTCAACACTTTTCTCTTCGGCCACGTTTATTTGATTTTGTAGGAATTGAAAAAGTTTTTTATTATCAGACAGCGACTGTAGTTGCTCTCTTAAAATCATAAATAATTCTAAATTTTTATCAAAATTATCAATTCTAAAGGAAACAGGAAGATCACAACGACAATCACGAGATGTTAGTAGTAGTACGAATAAACGAACACTAGTTAGTATATAATAAACATGGTCACTTTATACTTCCAGAGACAAACAAATGTTTACTATATTTTCTACTACCCAGTAATGGCTGCTTAACTAATTATCCTCATTAAATAATGTTAACTATCCTAATAATTAGAGAGATTGCATAATTAGAGACCTACTAAATGTATTGTTGTTAGGTATTATGTAATTATGGGTATCATTACGTGCTTTTACTTACTAATCCATATCAAATTTAACTTAAAAGCACTTACAAAAAAAAATATAAAGGTTTTTATTCTATGTATTTATTCATTTTTTTCGATCCATTTATTTGGTAGAATTGCAACTTTATGCACATGTTCATAGCATCAAATGATAGTAGACTAGACAAGGTGTAAGGAAAATAAAGTTTCAAAGCGAGACCTCGCGGTACTCAGCAGGAATTTAATTTAATGTGACCCGCTCCATACAAAAAAATCACAAAACACATTTTTCTGACCAAACTATAAAGTTTTTGTAATTTTTGCCCAAAATAATTATTATTGAGATTAACGAGCTCTATCTATCTACATAAAAAAAATTATAAAAAAACAAAGTTGGTTCCTAAGTCACTTAAATCATAGTATTGACCCACTGTGCGTCGTGACGGCCACATTGTCTCAACGTGTGAACGTTGGCCTAACATTCTGAGGGTGTCATTAAAAAAAAAAGATGTAATTTGCATTTCGGCTTGCCCTTTACCTATGCTTTTTTTTTAATTATAAAACATAAATAAATATATTAAAATTATTTCAAATTAAAACGCATCACTACAAACAGTACACAATATATTAATTACAGTATTTATAAACTCGTTTCGGGTCACGTTTTTACAAAAGAAAACTTAACAAATAAAAATCATCTTTTATATTATATGAAATCTTTTCACTCGGAGTTCTACAGGACGGCGAACGCGCTGCGAGAGATTTGAATCATTGTTTGTGTCGAGTTCTTTAACTGAAGACATGAGTGGATGGAGGGGATATGATACAATTTGTTAATTTGAAGAAAATGAGCGACAAACTTTTGTTACTTATATTTTTCTTCATATATAACTTTTTAAAAGTATCTTTTAAGCCTGGAGTTTTAAGGTCTAATATAGTTTATAGGCACATAACACCTTCATTCAACGTGAAAACTCAAAAATCTTAAATATGGTACTTAACCCCTTCATCCGCTCATGTCTTCAAATGATAATCACTTCCTATTCCTACGATTCAAACAGGAACGATTTATAACAAATGTGTAGGAAAGCTGAGTCAACTTTATCTATCTCTAATTAATAACACTATCAATATGTACAACAGTCAGATCATATAATTACCTGGCTTAAAATGATAATACGTGAAATCAGATAAAACATTACGTTGAATGTTACCAAACATTGGATACATATCATAAAAAACATTTTTATTACAATTTTATATATATAATTCTTAACTTGATATATATTTTATTTTACATATATTGTACAAAAGAAATACAGATTGCTTCTACTACTTCATCACTAGTCAAACCTTAACTAGTTACTTTAATAAAATTCAAATTTAGGCCTTTTACCAATTCTTCTTCAATTAATCTAAGACACATTGATGTGAGATAGGCAAGTGGCTCTACAACCGGGTAAACTTATTTTTATTTCTCTGTTAGTATAATACGACCGCCCAGATCAAGACAAAGTTCGAAGTCTCAATTAATTTTTATAACAATCATTGAATGGTGAATATTATATAAGTTCTATCACAAACAATAATTCAATCCCCACATAAGAACACTTTTACACTGGCAGTGTGCTAGACACAAACAATATTGCTTTAACCAGATACAGTTCTAATCTGATTTCCTGAGGGCTCCTCGAGCTCGCCAAGCTTTTAGTAAATTAAACGAGAAGTACAGTTGGAAAAAATGTACTTGTGATGCTAATAGCACGAAGGCATACCATAATAGGCCATAGGGGTAACCCTGAAAAATAAAAAAAGGTTATTGTAGTCTTACTGAGCGAGTTATCCAACAAAAATAAGCTTAATGTGAAGTTTTTTTGTTTATTTTTAAGAGTATAATATTATTATAAACAAAAACAGTTGTCACAGCCTAAAGGATAAGACGTCTGATGCATTAATATTTGGTAATGCAGCATTAGTGTTCAAATCCTGCAGTACCAAGTTTTGTAATGAAATACATACTTAAGAAATGTTCACCATTGACTTCCACAGTGAAGGAATAACATAGTGTAATAAAAATCCGTAAAATAATAATTTACATACTAACTACAGGTAGGACATCTCGTGAGTCTGCACGCGCAGGTACCTCCACCCTGCCTATGGGTTTCGGTTTGAAGGGTGAGGCAGCTGTTGTACTTAGAACTCATATTTCAAGGTGGATGGCGACATTTACGTTGTAAATGTCTATGGACTCTAGTAACTACTTAACACCAGATGAACCATGAGCTCATCCACTCTAAGCAATAAAAAATAATAATATAGGTACTACTTTTTAATTTCATCATGCGGTTGTGTATTCAGAACTCACCTGCCACAGTTCTATATCCACCTCAGAACTATCATCTTCATCATCATGTGACAAATATCTCCAAACATCCCCACAGTAGTACAATACGCAGTACAATAACGGACAGAATCCTAGTGCCACTATGCCATAAACATACTGCCGGAGGTGACGTATGTTGTTACGTTTGATTGCTGATAGACCAAGAAACGAGAGTAGCAACGACAAGCACCAGATGTATTCCCACCAGAGGGGCTGAAATAATTAAATTTAACAAATGTGTTTTGTGATACCAATATGTTGGTGTTGCATACCGTTTGCATAATGAAGGAATAATATGTGAAACAAATGCACAAAACCTTATAGAGTTGCTTAATTACTGGTGGTAAGTTCACCATTCTGTTTATTTCACTGCAAAGCAGTCTATCATTGCAGTTTGAAGGGTAAGACAACTCTTATGCAATAGAATTGAAGCTTCAACTAAATTAATTTTGAAGTCGTCGTGGCCTAAAGGATAAGACGTTCGGTGCATTCGTATCTAGCGATGCACCGGTGTTCGAATCCCGCAGACGGGTACCAATTTTTCTAATGAAATACGTACTTAACAAATGTTCACGATTGACTTCCACGGTGAAGGAATAACATTGTGTAATAGAAATCAAACCCGCAAAATTATAATTTGCGTAATTACTGGTGGTAGGACCTCTTGTGAGTCCGCACGGGTAGGTACCACCGCCCTGCCTATTTCTGCCGTGAAGCAGTAATGCGTTTCGGTTTGAAGGGTAGGGCAGCCGTTGTAACTATACTGAGATCTTAGAACTTATATCTCAAGGTGGGTGGCGCATTTACGTCGTAAATGTCTATGGGCTCCAGTAACCACTTAACACCAGGTGGACTGTGAGCTCGTCCAACCACCTAAGCAATAAAAAAAAAAAAAAAAAACTAAAGATTGGTAAAGACATTCACCTTCTGAAGTCTATGGACTTCTGTAGCCACCAAGCACAAGGTGAGCCATAGAAAGCATCTACCTGTTCAAAGCATAAATCAACATACCGGTGGAATTTGCAACTCTTCAACTTCAAGTATAAATATGTCAAGTTTGTCAAGTACATCTGCAGAGAGCTTTGCCATCATCCCGAGGAACAGTATGTGGTGGAAGAACACACAGTACTTGAGGCGAGATTTGTTAAGTGCACTGAAAATATTTTTATACAATTTATCAATAATAATTTATTGCTTCAACAACATTATTTGCTGCAATTGACCTTTAGTACTTGTGACAATTTTTTAAAATTTATATTACTGAATCTGCTATGGGTACAATAAGTGAAGAGCAGAAATTGCAGCATTTTTGGAGAACTATAATCTTTAGTGACAGTAGACATTAGACAGTAGTATGACAGTAAAACACAATTTAAAAAAGTACAACGTATTTAGATTTATTTATCAACACATTGTAACCTCGACCATGAATTCCATATTCAAATAATTGGCGCGCAACCATAATTCGCTATCGACTGCTTTCAGCTAAAAATAAGTTGACAAGAACTGCTTACCAACTAAGAGTAACAATTACCATTATATTTTAATTTAAGTAATGGTTTAGTTAAAATTTCAGCTCTAATTTGAGTCATGAATATTATGTTATTCTCACCTTATGTGATACTGTATGGCTACTTTTTCACGATGTTCAAAATCAGCCCCGTTTGTCCCCGTCACCATAACACCACCGCGGGAAGCCATTTTCTGACTAAAAATAAGTACAAAACAACAAAAAACTATCCCGTTGTATAGTGCAGCCACACACTGCGTCTCATTCAAGTAATCCTGGCTAGGGTTCTTTAATTTCGCTTTTATTTTCGGATTTTTCTACCCATCTTGTTGAAATCTGTCAACTAGAAAGGAAATGTCAAAACGTGTGCCAAGTTGTCATTTCTCAATATTGTCAAAACGTTCCATAAGACGCAAAATCTCTAGAAAAATTTAACTTTATACTCTAAATCATAATAATTTAAAAAAAAGCTTACACACTTAGAGTGTTACTTACTCTAAGTAAGTATACTTAGAATATTGCTATTTATATCATCGAATGTTAGTTTATAACATATTTTTTACGGTGTTTGGCATCTTTATTTCGATATCGTTCATAAAAACAAAGATAATATGTATTATTTGCTTTTAGGTAATTGGTGTTACGCTAACTCAAAAGTGTAGCATGTTTTTTAATCTAAAACATTTATGCCGGAAATGATAAAAATCACTAGATGCGTGAAGACTCGTGTGTCATAAAGCAGGCTCGGCCTAAAGCGCGAGTTCACAAAATTTGTCCTAGGATCACATTTATATATAATATCTAAAGCTTATGAAATAAAGTGATGAGTATCTTTTCACCGTATCCCTTTGGGAAATTCTTCCCTAACAGGGTGCTACACTTGAACGGATGTGAATGCGTTGCACCCAGTCTGTGAGTAGTTGGAATAGCCCCTTAAGTTATAGGGGGGAAATGCACAAACCTGCAAAATAAGATTTCCTAATTTATGCATAGTAAAAACCGTGGTGGACGAAAAGATTTGGTCCTCTAAATTCAGATATTATGTATTAAGATACACCATAGAAATAGTACATTACGTACTTTTGGATATGTAGGTATATTACACATTAGAAAAAGATCAATGCCAACACACAATATTCAATATGTATCTACGAACGACTTCAGCACTATTTTCTGAAAATGTAGATATACCTGCCTACTAAATTGCAAGTTATTCATCTATTAAGTGGTTGGTTTTAAGTGGTTACTGGAACCCATAGACATCTACAACGTAAATGCGCCACACACCTTGAGATATAAGTTATAAGGTCTCAGTATATGTAGTTACAACGGCTGCCCCTCCTTTCAAACCGAAACGCATTACTGCTTCACGGCAGAAATAGGCGGGGCGGTGGTACCTACCCGTGCGGACTCACATGAGGTCCTACTACCAGTAATTACGCAAATTATAATTTTGCGGGTTTTAATTTTGATTTTTATTTCACGATGTTATTCCTTCACCGTGGAAGTCAATCGTGAACAATAAAATTGTTAAGTACGTATTTCATTAGAAAAATTGGGACCCGCCTGCGGGATTCGAACACCGTTGCATCGCTATATACGAATGCACCGGCCGTCTTATCCTTTAGGCCTTAGCCTTTAGGCTTAACGCTGAATTCATCCATAATTACTAGTGGGAAGAAGACTTGTAACTCCGCACTACATCAAAACTTGAAATGCCGCCACCCAACTCGAGACATTTTTTTATATACTGAGAACAAATCACGCACGGTCAACCGGCCCCAATTTAGAATTCCGTGTTATGGGCACTAGAGACCGACAAACATACTCATATACGTTTATATATACATATTAAGAAAATAAACATCCAGGCAAAGAAACCTGTTCATCACATGAATGTTTGCTCAATGTGGGAACGAATCCACGACCCTCGGCTCAACTAAAGACTTTGTGACCGAAGGAAAGTCAATGTACCTTGACAGTTTTATACATATACATGTTTCATTAGTTTATTCATTTTGTTTTTTTTTTTGAATGAGTGATTACTGGTGGCCTAGAGGCCTTTCCAGTTTCACCAGGACAGGTGGGCGAGTAAAGGCTCAGCCAGGAGGGGTGGAATTTGCTAACAGCTGCCCGAGCGCCTCCGAAGGAGAACTAACAATTCAAGAACAGCTGGTTCATGAATCTTCTACCGGATCAGAATCGCGACCCGCTGAGAGGTTCGACGAGAAACTCTGCGAAAATTAGGTTGCACGTCGAACTCTTTGCCGAGTTCGACGAGTACGATTATCAGAATCCCTAAGCCTGCTCCTAGTGTTAGAACTGAAGGCGTCTAATGCAGGAGTTATTGGATCTGATGGATCCGTAAGGACGCGTCTAGGGTATAATAATACCCCCAACACTCACTCATTATAAGTAGTATGTAGATAATGGAACGGCATTTTTCACGACACCCTGAAGTTCGACAATGATTTCATCTAAACAGGGCCACTACACGAAATTTAAGGGTTCCTTCTATAAATAATCCAGCTATACAACTCAAGAAGAGAGTATATAATTATGTTACGCTACACGCCAAGAGTCATTTTTTTTTTATTGCCCTTGTAGGCAGACGAGCAATACGGCCCACCTGATGGTGAGTGGTTACCGTCGCCCATGGACTTCAGCAATGCCAGGGGCTTAATACTCTCCACAAGCCTCTTTTAAAGAAGGACATGTCATAGCGCTCGGGAAACACCGTTATTAATACACGTGATATTAATTATAAATTGAAATGTACCTACTCTCATAAAGTATCGTTGATTTCCGTCAATTCGCAACGCATAACCAATTAGTCATCGTCATATCGATAATTTCAAAACAATCAACATAAAAGAAAAAAGATTTTTTAATTGTTCGTGCTGTGTTTTATAAACACTAATTAAAAGAACCAATTTTATTTTGCTTCCGCCATCACGAACGTTAGGGCGATTATAAATAAGACGAGTGATCCGTGAAATTTTTTAATCTGTCTCGAAAGTACTTAAAAATGAAACTGTTGATTTTTTTCGGTGTTCTAGCTTTCGTGGCTATTGAGGTAATAACTTTAAACTTCCATTTTAAGTAAATAATGCTAAAACTAAATAAGTAAATAATACTAAGACTGAATTAATTAATTTATATTTTTGTAGTAAGCATAGATTTGAAACGTGCATGGGATCCGTTCTTTATGCCGAGAAGTTACTATTATGTAATTTCCCGCCCGCGATCTCAGGGAAGGGCAAAAATCTCCAGCACTAGATTTTGCAAACAACTCTTACATCCAAATTATAAAACAAAAGTTAGACAGGCCGCTAAGTTTCGTCTTTATGTTGCTAATCTCATGTTTATTTGGTTTATTGAATACTCTCTATGCTTTGATCAAATAATAATTAGATAGAATAATAATTAGACCTGCTTACAATTAGAAACCTCTGTATCTGTTGGATAAATTTAATACATTAATTTGACTATTTAGCTAATCCATTCCAAACCCGTTGCCGAAGAAACTAAGAAGGATGAAACAACACCACCCGTGACAGTTACAGAGGGGGCTGCAAGAGCTGCCGGAGTAGCATCCGTAAGTATACTTAAGACCTTAGAAACTATATCTCAAGGTGGGTGGCGCATTTACGTTGTAGATGTCTATGAGCTCCAGTAATTACTTAAGACCAGGTGGGCTGTGAGTTCGTCCACCCATCTAAGCAATAAAACAAAAATAAAAAAAGTGTAGCTTACATTGTAAACTCCGTTGTATGAAAAAAATACTGGTAACATCGATCATATTTCCATATTTTTTACCACAGTTAAAATCAAAACAGGTTATGAGACTTTTTGGCGGGAACGCGAGAGGTGAAGTTGTTTGATTTATTTTATTTTGTCTAATTAGTGTTTCTTCAGGTTTAAATGCGTAATAACGGTGGTTTATTAACTGTTTAATAACTGTGAAATTGTACAAATGTGGGAAAATGAAACAAAGCCACTCGACGTAACTTCTCGGGATCCTCCAAAAAGTCCACTGAAAAAATCTCAGTAGATGTCCACCATTATACTGAGATTATGTTTCATCCCATATCATCTCATTTCATTTCATTTCGCTTCATATTATCATTTTTCATAAAAATAAGAATATAAATTAAAGTTAGACTTGACCTAAAGGTGTTAGTTACCAGGTCATAAAATCCCTTAAAAAAAACAGGTTATGGCGGGAATCGTGTAAAACAAACGTTCAGTCGACATTAATAAATCAAAAATAATTACACATTGTACATGATTTCAGGATAAAGCTACTTCAGCGAGTACGAGCGCGTCTCAAACGGTTGCCACGGTAAAGGACGCCGCTGTCAAATCTGCAGCTAAATAATTTTAAGCAGAAACTAATTAGGGTAAAATGAACTTGTTTTAAATTTGTCAAATTGCATAGTAAAATTCAATAAATAAAATAAAATGGGACCCATATTATAAGTAGTTTTCTTTCTATAAATTATTTTTTTTGCCGCACCTAAGAATTGATTTAATAGGTACATTTTATTATAAAACTTAAAAAAATTTGGGTGTTAAATCAGGTCTACATGCGATATGTACATAATTCCTTTTTTTTTTAACCATTTTATTGCCCAGTAACGACATCTTTAAGCCAATTATTTTTAAAGTAAGAATAAAATTAAATGTCTGCTTCGATCAATATTGTTGATCGAAGTATGTTTGTGACGACAAATTAATTAGTCGTTACGATCGATGACATTATATTCACGGTAGCTTATTAGGTTCACATCATTATTTAAAAGAAAAATTAAAAGATAACTTGCGCATTCCTTTTTCTAACACTAGGAGTAGGTTTAGGGACCCCGGTAACCGTACACGTCGAACTCGACAAAGAGTTCCGTGGGTGGCGTAGCCGTTGTAACTATACTGAGACTGAGACCTTAGAACTTATATCTCGAGGTGGGTGGCGCATTTACGTTGTAGATGTCTATGGGCTCCAGTAACCATTTAACACCAGGAGGGCTGTGAGCTCGTCCATCCATCTAAGCAATAAAAAAAAAAAGAGTTCGACGTGTAACTTAATCCAAACATCAGTCCGCTGAGTTTCTCGCCGGATCTTCTCAGCGGGTCGCGATTGCGATCCGGTAGTAGATTCATTCGCGAAGCAGCTGCTCTTGAGCTATTAGGTCTCCTTCGGAGGCGCTCGGGCAGCTGTTAGCAAATCCCACTCCTCCCAGCTGAGCCTTTGCTCGCCCACCTGTCCTGGTGAAACTGAAAAGGCCTCCAGGCAAACAGTAATCCTTTCTTAAAAAAAAAAAACATAAATAAACGGACGAAACATGAATAAAACTGTCAAGGTATATTAACTTCCCTTTGATCACAAAGTCTTTAGTTTTGTAATGGACTATAGTTAACGTCGGCTCACCGACGTTGCAGTGTAGGACGCGTGTCAAAATCATATGATCATAATACGCGCGGGTATTTTTTTTAGTAGGTACGACCACCTTGCCTATTTCTGCCGTGAAGCAGTAATGCGTTTCGGTTTGGAGGGTGGGGCAGCCCTTGTAACTATACTTGAGACCTTAGAACTTACATCTCAAGGTGGGTAGCGCATTTATGTTATAGATGTGTATGGTATCCAGTAACCACTTTACACTAGGTGGGCTGTGAAATCGTCCACCCAAACAAAAACCTTGTTCTGGCTGTTAACAAAAAAGTTTTACTATAATGTACCTACTCTAAGAAATTTTATGTTTACTAAATTACGCTTTCAAAGTTATCAAACTACAAAGTAATAAAAGTTTAATGCATGACTCGTTTATTTTAACTATGTCGTTGTGAAGAACAGTATATCCCTAACGCTCCCGGCTGTCGACAGCTCGGCGGCGGCGCGACCTGCCGAGCTCTCCGCGCCCTGAATCAACAGCGTCACCTGCCAAACAGACCCCAAACCTCAACGTGAAACTTAGTTTCTGGTGACATTTTTTTTCCTACCTAAGCTGAGAGCCTTGGGAGGCTATTTCAGCGTAACCTTAGCTAGTAGGTAGGTGAGCTCACGGGGCTCAAACCGGAGTGATGCTAACACTGACCCTAGCAAGCTTCGCAGAATCTACCACCGGATCGGAAACGCGACCCACTGAGAAGATCCGGCGAGAAACTCAGTGGGCTGTGTCTGTGGGTTAATTTACTCGTCGAGCCCTTCATTGCAAGCGACGGGTTCGGCGAGGACGGTGACCGGTGCTTGTGGTACCTAAAAGCACCGTTAATGGATCGGGAGGATCCGTAATGACGTGTTTTGGGCGACGTCGAATGTTTACCATTCGGTCTACAGGATCGGGTATGTAGTTTCCAGCGGCCACGACAAGAGGGTTCTCATGTCGTGCCGCCTTCTCAAAGTGGCGCAATGATGCCGACTGTAGATACTTACTGACTGTTCTAACGATAACAATATTAACCTATCTGTGGAACTCATTTTTTTTTATTGTTGATTCAATTTGTTGTAGACTTGAAATATGTAATAGCAAGTACATCCCTTCTATAACCATTTTTCGAAAGTCTAACACTGCTGCCGTGACCAGCCTTCGTTCTCCCGGTCGAATTTCTACTGTTTACATATATTTTTTTATTTATTGCTTAGATGGGTGGACGAGCTCACAGCCCACTTGTTGTTAAGCGGTTACCGGAGCCCATAGACATCTACAACGTAAATGCGCCACCCACCTTGAGATATAATTTCTAAGGTCTCAGTATAGTTACAACGGCTTCACGGCAGAAATAGGCGGGGTGGTGGTACCTACCCGTGCGGACTCACAAGAGGTCCTACCACCACTCCGGTACCAGTACCAGTTTATATTATTACGAAAACCTCAGGCCATAGCAGAGGGAGTGGCTCCCGCAATGAGGACGGTCCGTGGTCTGTTCCCTATTGTTGATATAGGCATATGTACGTCTCACCTGAGGCATAGGTCCATGCCGACTTGTTTCGCTCGACAGTGGAACGGATCGCGGTTCTCTGTTATTCTCCTTTCTCCTTCTCTTGTAGTTAGATTTTCTAGTGCCGCTGTCGTGGCGCTTGCGACCGTATGTTGTGCATGAATCTGTTCATTTTTTTTTAAAATACTAATTTAAATTACAATAAGTCAATAGAAACAAACGTGAATGTCGTGGCAGTTCAAAACTTTATATTGGTGGTAGCAGAAGTTTGCAATATGTATGAAAATGGTATGTATGGAAATGTATGGAAATGGTAGTGCAAGGTAGAGGGGGAAAAGGTCGACCAAAGAAGACATGGATGGAGTTTGTGAATGACGACATGAGAGACAGAGGAGTGAGTGTTGAGATGACGGCCGATAGAAGAGAAAAATTAGCTGTGCCGACCCCTCCTAGTGGGATAAGGTGGAGAAAAAGAAAAGTAGAAGTTTGCAATAGAAGACATAGTATGTAGTAGGAGTTTGTAATCGGAAAGGATCGCTCAGCGGCAGTAAAATTACGGGAAATTTAAAGATGGGGCAGATATAATTTTAGAAGGAGAAAGTAATTGATAGTTTAATACTAGTACGGATTAGTTAAGGGAATGTTATTAGAATAGAGAAAGGCGGGTCCTGTACTTGAAAGCCTTGATGAACTGCCGCACATACATACCAATATCAATATATTCGACCGGGTTATTAATTAGTACTAAACTAACATATAATATTAAGCTGAAACAATATTAAAATTAAATCTTTAATCTCGATCGACATATTGTAATTTAAGTTGCTTAGTCTTGAATATATGACTTAGAAATTGATCTTGAACATATGAAAATATCGGATTCAGATTGGGTTAATACAACTGAAGTGCAGGTAGACCCTGAGATCGTTTATCCATCTACAGCAATTACAACAAAAAAAAGTCATTTTACGTATACGCTTACCGTCATTGTCACGAGGTTCGAGCGGTGGTAGGGAGTGCAACGGTATGGGAATCCTGGCGAGCTTCGAACGACGAGACTCAATCAAACGCACAAGACAGTCGAGCGCGGTCTGCCTGTTCTGTGTGCAAAGAATAAACAACAACCACTAAAAATTATACTGGTATCATGCTGGTAGTCATAATACTGGGCGTATTANACGTATACGCTTACCGTCATTGTCACGAGGTTCGAGCGGTGGTAGGGAGTGCAACGGTATGGGAATCCTGGCGAGCTTCGAACGACGAGACTCAATCAAACGCACAAGACAGTCGAGCGCGGTCTGCCTGTTCTGTGTGCAAAGAATAAACAACAACCACTAAAAATTATACTGGTATCATGCTGGTAGTCATAATACTGGGCGTATTATGAACCCGCACGCGTAAATACCTCACGTCATTACGGATCCTCCGATCCATTAACGGTGCTTTTAGGTACCTCAAGCAAAGGTCACCGTCCTCGCCGAACCCGCCGCTTGCGACGAAGGGCTCGACGAGTAAATTAACCTATAAACACAGCCTATTGAGTTTCTCGCCGGATCTTCTCAGTGGGTCGCGTTTCCGATCCGGTGGTAGATTCTGCGAAGCACTGCTCTTGCTTGAAGTAGCCTTTTTTTTATTATTGCTAGATTGGTGGACGAGCTCACAGCCCACCTGGTGTTAAGTGGTTACTGGAGCCCATAGACATCTACGACGTAAATGCGCCACCCACCTTGAGATATAAGTTCTAAGGTCTCAAGTATAGTTACAACGGCTGCCCCACCCTTCAAACCGAAATGCATTACTGCTTCACGGTAGAAATAGGCAGGGCGGTGGTACCTACCCGCACGGACTCACAAGAGGTCCTACCACCAGTAATTACGCAAATTATAATTTTGTGGGTTTCATTTTTATTACACGATGTTATTCCTTCACCGTGGAAGTCAATCGTGAACATTTGTCGAGTACGTATTTCATTAGAAAAATTGGTACCCACCTGAGATTCGAACACCGGTGCATCGCTCAACACGAATGCACCGGACGTCTTATCCCTTAGGCCACGACGACTTCAAGCCTCTCAAGGCTATCAGCAAAGGTGGGAAAAAAAACACCACAATCTAATCAATATCTGGCGCGAAGCAGTCATGCGTTAAAATGGTGCGTGTGGTCAATCCGCCGCGTTTCTACCTGTAGATAAACGTTCTAAATGTATGTTTGATAAAATGAATATATGTTCACAAGTGCGGCTGATCTCTAAGCAATTCCTGTTGTGTAAAATTACGAGTACCGACCACTTGTCGCAAATATTTGTATGCTTTACCCTACCTTGATTTCCTCAAGCAATGGTTCGAAGACAGTAGGATCTGTGGAGTCTTTGAGCGCCTCCCAACTCTTGAACAGCTTTCGGTCCGAAAGTCGAACGGTGCTTTCTAGTTCACGAACCTCTTTGGAAATAATATAATCCTTTAAATCAACGCTGTTTCGTGAGATCATGCTCGTGGAACACACAGACACAGGTGAGAAAATCTCCGTTTTCGATTTTAAGACCTAAAGTCGATCGCTGTGTCTGAAGAGTTCTAAAATTGATCAGGACATGCTTTATTTTGAAAAGGAAAACAAACCAGTTTCCTTTACATCAACAAATGAAGACAATCTATAAAACAGTGACGGTATTTACAACGTTTGGATCAGTCTATCTGATCTCGGTCCACGAAACACTGCAGAATGCGGCGCCATATTATCAATATGGAGGTTCCCGTACAAAAGACTAGACGGAATAATGCTACTGCATATTCTAACTCTACACGAGTCGTATCCTCAAGTGCCATATTTTGAAGCGAAGTAGGCGGGACAGTCGAAATCAAATGCAATTGTGACGTTGATCTTATGTCTGTAGATCGCAGAATTCAGGCTCTAATGCATCTATATGGGTAATTTCATAATTCAGTCGAGTCAGATCTCGTCTGCCGATCTTCGCTAATCCACAACAGGTAAATTTGCGGTGGCCGTCGCAAAAGAATACGATAAAAGGAAAACAAGAGCAGCACACCTGTCTCCCGCAAGTTATTGAGTTGAGCAAGAACTTGCTTCTTCTGTGCGCGCACAGCTTTCCTTTGTGTCCGCGTGCGCGATACGACGTCCCGTGCGTTCCGTGCTTCCGCGGCCAGTGAAGCCACTTCTCGGGCCTCTTGCTCTAACCGACGTTCTAGCTCGCTACGAGTTTATTTAATTATTTACCTCGTGGCGTCGCTAAGTCGTCGTGGCCTAATGCCTAGTTTACATTACGAAATTAGTGTCATGCATGTTGAGCTCAGTTTCACGAAAGTAGTTTCGATATATGCGAAAGTAATTTCGTTAAAAAATTAGCGTCGCGAACTCCACAGTATCGCAGTAACCATGGCGCCTTCAGCATCAAAGCTATAATTTGCTATATTCAATGTAGCTAAAGAAATGCTTATATACCTATAAACTTAAAAAAAGACTATCAAGAAAAAAAAAGTTGGTAGATTCAAGGATGGTCAACAAGAAGGCATTTAGGTGCAATGAAGTTAGTCTCTGAATTAGCAGATGAAGATCCTGAGAGTTATAAAAACTATTTTCGAATGAGTGAAGATAATTTTGATTTTTTACTGTAGGTGTTTCGGGACCCTTGTCATTGATATTCATTAATAAGATCTATATTTTTTTCTGTACTCCATCGTTGGTTTGCCATTTTCAACGCTTGAAGCGCGTCCGAACTAACAATACACACGTCCGCACAGCGCAGGCCCTTTCGCGACATTAGTTTCACGTCGCGTCTACACTATGAAATTAGTTGCATGACACTAATTTCACCAAAAAATCGCGCAGGGCACGAAACTAATTTGCATGCATGAAATTAATGCATGCATTACGAAAGTATTAAATTACACGTGAAACTGTTGGTAAAACGAATGTCACGAAATTAATTTCACGCCACTAATTTCGTAATGTAAATTCGGCTTAACGGATAAGACGTCCGATGCATTCGTGTTGAGCGATGCACCGGTGTTCGAATCTCAGGCGGGTACCAATTTTTCTAATGAAATACGTACTCAAGAAATGTTCACGATTGACTTCCACGATGAAGGAATAACATCGTGAAATAAAAATCAAACCCGCAAAATTATAATTAGCGTAACTACTGGTGGTAGGACCTCTTGTGAGTCTGCACAGGTGAGTACCACCACCTTGCCTATTTCTGCCGTGAAGCAGTAATGCGTTTTGGTTTGAAGGGTGGGGCAGCCGTTGTAACTATACTTGAGACCTTAGAACTTGTATCTCAAGGTGGATGGCGCATTTACGTTGTGAATGTCTATGGGCTCCAGTAACCACTTAACACCAGGTGGGCTGTGAGCTTGTCCATCCATCTAAGCAATAAAAAAAACCAAAAAAAAAACCTAATAGCCTAAAAATAGCAAGAGGCTGTTCTTAATGGCGTGTTTTTTAAATATAGTCCACAATTTCGATAGGTAACATAGCTAATGGAAGATATTTGTTGACACCAAACAGGAAATAGGTGGTATGCCAAGACATAATAATTATCAAAAAAAAAAACTAACTTATGTATCTTTAAAAATATAGATTTTTGTTTCAAAAAATACAGCTGCCCATGCTGGTTTTTTAACTCTCCAATACCAGAAAGCACCAATCGTATTTTCAAGCAGAATTCGCATTTCACCTGGGGTATTCTCCAGTGACCTTCGCATAAGACTGGATGTTCCTGATTACTTCCACTAAATGATGAAGCTGAGCGCAGAATTCCGGCAGCTGATCTGGAGTAAGGTATTGTCCGCCATACCTTCAGGATGAAAATAATGTTTATAGGATTTTAGCAAAATATGCTACATGATTAAGTAACTTACAACCTAAAGGATATAAGCGATTGGCCTAAAATACCTATTAATTTAAGTTAAAATGAAAATGCGCATAGCGATTTGATCTAGACAGCGAAGAGTTCGGTAAAGGTTCGGCCCCCCCACTTTTATTATCAGGTAGAAAATTTCCTAAAGAACATTCAATCAAACATCTATTCAATTGATTAGAACAGCTGGTTAGATTTTTACAAACATAACAACATTATAGGTACTATAATAAGTTAATAACTTCTTGTTTTAAAAAGGTACCTAACTCAGACTGCGCGTAGACATAGTTATTATCATAATTATAAATTCGGTCCATCAAATTGAAGAATAAATCATAGTAAGTAAAAGAAAACAAACAATTACTCAAAGATCTACATATACCTATATAACCACTCCGTTCTTGTAAATATCGAATATTTATTTAGGTTAAAAACTATTATTACCTTTGGTCTATTTTAGTGGCGAATTGTCCTGGATCAACAGAATTGACGTTAGAAGTAGCATTGCCTACAGGATCTATTTCTTCTTCATCGGTAGTCATGCTACCGCAGGCGATATTTTCGCTCACACTAAAAATTGGCATTTAAGTTATTGCAACAGTACCTACTGGTACCTTTGAAGCCCTTCAGACGGACGCCGACGTGATCATTATAATTTGATCGTCACGTTAGTTTTTTTGTGAAAAAAGAATTACTGGTGGCCCGGAGGCCTTTCACCAGGACGAGCGGACGAGCAAGGGCTCAGCCAGGAATGGTGGGATTTGCTAACAGCTACCCGAGCGCCTGCGGAGGAGACCCAAAAACTCAAGGGCAGCTGCTTCGCGAAAGAATCTGCCACGTTAGTCTGTTAGTATTCGAGAAAAATGACTGTAATGCAGGGTTCCACGGCAGTTTCTTTTTTGGTAGTCAAGGTTCGCATGTGAAACATAGTTTGGTGACATATTCTCGACTGGCTTTCTACCCTCAGCTAAAACCACATGGCACAGCAGAGCACCGAGCTCAACTGTCGCGTCGTATGAAACGGTAGCTCATATTATTTATTTCACAAATTATTAACACCGATACAGAATATTGTCAAAATTGGTTCAGTCGTTTTGGACGTTAAAATGTTACAGAGATACTTTATAATTACGTAATATCCATTAGTATGTATTTCTAGTGTACTTACCCTGAAGATGTAACTGAAAATCGTTTATCAAGCAAGTTGTACTTGTGATGGTCACCTCGGAGTCTACCGAGAAGCCTGCTGAGGAGACGGGACTGCCTCCCACCGCCCTCCATTATTCCACCCCAATTTTTATAAGCTAAACTGAATAATATTGCCGGAATGGTTACATTTTTTTTTGTTAAATTTATTTATATGGTTTTATAGTTTTTTTTTTCTCTAACTTTATTGCAATCGCAATGACGGAACGTCAATTACTGGCTATTCAACCTCCGTGGTATTTTTAAAGAGAGCGTTTGAGTGTAATAGGTCGCTGCGAATTTTTTATTGCTTAGATGGGTGGACGAGCTCACAGCCCACGTGGTGTTAAGTGGTTACTGGAGCCCATATACATCTACAACGTAAATGCGCCATCCACCTTGAGATATAAGTTCTAAGGTTTCAGTATAGTTACAACGGCTGCCCTACCCTTCAAACCGAAACGCATTACTGCTTCACGGCAGAAACAGGCAGGGTGGTGCTACCTATCCGCGCGGCCTCGCAAGATGTCCTACCACCAGAATAAACGCATGCAAGCCGTGCAGAATTAAACTTTCAGTTCATTGGTATTGAAATACGTAGTTCTCAAACACGTGTCACTAATAACTTATACAGGGTGGCCCATAAGTCCTTTGATATGAAAAAAAAATTATTAAAATAAAACTAATTACATTATGAATTAAATTTTTATTTACATAAAAAGCTTAAAAAACGGGAATTATTTTTTGAAAATAACATCTCCTAAATGTAATCCGTTGCGATCACGGCACTCTTGCAAACGAAGTCTAAAATTGTCGATGACTGCGCGGCACGTCACTGCTGAAATGCTTGTCATTTCTCTGCGGATGTTTTCTTTTAGGGCCTCAATTGACCGCGGGTTTGTGCGGGTATCTTCACATGACATCTCCCTTTCTTTACTCAAATAAACCTACAAAGTAACCAATTTGAAGTTTTATTTAACTTAGATTCTAACTTAATATAAGACTTGACCCTTTAGCCAACTTGGTTGTTTTACCTGCCTTCCAGACCTTGTTTGCCTTATGTCAGTATTTACATTTTCCAAAGTTACTGACTTCCTATTGCTAGTAGTGTCATTAGACTGTATATTGTCATTGTCACTCTCAATATTGTCATTGTCACTGCCAATGCCACTACTACCAATTGAATCTTCTATATCACCACTGTTATAGTCTCTTTGTCTATTAGAAGAGCCTTTGTAAATATTGTATCTATTTCTTTTAATCACTTGTCCTTGCTCTGTTAGAATATTGTATGCTCTATGTTTGTTTTTTTGTATTATTTTCCCCCTAAGATTTTTATTTTTACTATCCCTTATAAACACATTTTGACCCTCTGTAAACTCAATTCCTTTTTGATTATTTCTTCTATCATGATAATATTTGTATTTAATTTGCTTTTTCTGCAAACTATTCCTAACTTTCTTTAATTTATTTTTACTTGGCAAAGAAGATCTGGTAGGTAACAAAGTTACTGTTTGTCTTCCTAAGAGTAACTCATTAGGAGACATGTTAATTTCTGAATCTATAGGTGTGTTGCGATATTCCGTCAAGGCCATATAAATATCTTTCTGATCAAAATCACATTTTTTAAACATTTTTTAACAATCTGAATGTGCCGTTCAACCATACCGTTGGACCTCGCATAATATGGACTAGATTTAACTAACTGAAATCCCCATTCTTTCACAAATTCTTGAAATTCGTAACTATTAAACTGTGATGCATCATCTGTACATAGCTTTGTTGGAATACCCCATCTCGCGAACATCTGCTTTAATGCTAATATGTGACTTNATTATTATTTTTTTAAATAAAATAAAAACCTTTTGTTTCATAGTCCCAAATTGCAAAATCTTCCAAAATATATCCGGTTTGTCGTCTTCTTGATGGATCCCACTCACTATTGTACCATTCACAGAACAAAAGCAGCCGGGTCAAGTCAAATTCAGTTTGATAAAAGTTTCTCACATAATAGGAGTCGAAAAACCAGCCAAAATCAACAATAATAATTGTCACAAACAATGTCACTAGACACTTGTCCCACAAACAATAAGGCTTCACTGTTTTTATATTCAAAATGCTGATATTTAATTTTAAAATAATTTGTGTTATCACTTAAGCCGCGTCCGCTACACGCCCCGCGCGCATGTTCTTATTGTATTTAGATGTTTGTTAAAGCTTGAGATAGATGCAAAGAATACTCGAAAACTGAGCCCTTGACCGCAGCAGGAAGCCAGTTTTGAGACATGAGGTCGAAGTCATAACTACCAACTGCATTAAAGGTTTTAAATTAAGTCTTAACATTAACGTTCGTGAACAACTGGACAGGGGACTCCAGATCGTCTCAAGTTCAGAGATACAGTCAAACAACATTGTTGACCAGTGGCGCACACTTGAGATCTTCTCCAAAGTGTCACCCGGGTAACGAGCGCACGCGGGGGCCGGGGGGACGCTCCGGTTCCCGCGTGATGTCTGACTGACGTGACGCTCATCTTCCTCTCTATAGTACTTAAGACTGTTTGTTATTGACATTATAGATTCCAAGATGAGGGTGCTGTTAGTTTGCCTGGCAGGCTTACTGGTCTGCCTGAAGACGGCTGAACCTCACTCATTGCCGCAAAAGGATTACGACACCGACTCCAGCAAACATGACATTACCGATCCACTTAATGACACCAGCGGAAATAATAGCAGCTCGGTCCCCGACAATACCACCGAAATCTTTGATTCTAAAACCACAATATTAATCCTGCGTTACTTAACTAGGGGTGACAAGAAAGAGTACAAGGGTATATACGCCCACAAGAACGGCAAGGTGAAAAAAATTTTAGCAGGCGGCAGGGCCGTCTCAGATTGGTTTTCGAAGTCACGCGCCTATTTGGGCCATAAGGACGGTATCTACGTTTACGACACAGAAACAGAGAAGCTTGAAAAGTACGGCAATCTGAGTGACAGCGTCATCGGGATCTTAAAAGAGAACCGCACTGACGACCTGTACATTCTGACGGAAGACCACGTCGTCTACAAGGTCATCGAGGAAGGCACCAAGAAGATCAAGGTCAACGAAGCTGAGCATGCTGAGCAAATAGCGCTGGACTGGGATGACAACTTGTATTACATCGGAGCGAACAATCAACCGTATGTTGTCACTTCGGACGGTGCGAAGAAGATCGAAGGTCTTCCAGCTAATCCAACCTCAGCCTCGTTCTCTAGGGCTCCAATCACGACAGAACATAGATCCTGGTTTATGTCCGGAAAACAGCCCTACATCATCTATCCCAACGCGACCAGCGAACCATACGTATTCAACGACCAAGAGAAGTTGGAATATGAGAAAAGAATTCGTGCTCTCCAACTTATTTTCTTACAGTTGAGGAATCAAGCAGAGGAATAACGTATTATCTTCGGGTTTCGCGTGTTGTAGAGATAATTAAAATGACTTTTACAGGCTGACCGTGCCGAACGCAGTCGGCCATGACCACGAAAACTAAAGAATTCGAAGCTTTGGGATTTTAATAGTGACAATAGCAAACTGGAGGTCAAACTGTAAAAGCAATTTTAATTATAGAAATAACGTGTTTTTTGATTGAAATGAATGAATCTTGTCGAATGTTGTTGTTTTATTTCTTGTTTACCTTGACCATATAAAGCACATTGGTACGAGCATAAAGTAGAGCATCCAATGTATGTGGTTGCCGTTGCTCGTGGATCCCAACAATCTCATTCGAAAAAGAAAATTACAGAGCTGTGAAGAAATACCTAGAGAGTGTATTTGCTCATCTTGATAGAACGTGACAGAATCATTTATCAAAAAGATCCACGTGGTGCGCCCTTTTTCAAATGATGAATCTTTTTCCCGAGGCGGAAGATACAGTGCTAGGATGGAAATTACAGGGTCAGCGGACCTATGCTTAGGTTGAGTTGCACGTCGAACTCTTTTAAGAGTTCGACGAGCATGGTTACCGGGTCCCTAAGCCGGCTCTTAGTGTTAGAGCTGAAGGCGTCTAATACAACAGTTATTGAAGCTGATGGATTCGTAAGGACGTGTCTAGGGCGTCGACGGTGACTAGATTTTGCGTAATCAGGATTTCGGGAGTAGTTAGCGGCGGCAACGATAAGGCGATTATCATTTTTTTTTTTTATTGCCTTTGTAGGCAGACGAGCATACGGCCCACCTGATGGTGAGTGGTTACCGTCGCCCATGGACTTCAGCAATGCCAAGGGCAGAGCCAAGCCGCTGCCTATCATGACGCATAGCCTTATCAAAGTACCGTTCCGACGCCTTACTGGTAGTAGGAGGATGTCTTCTGAGTACGCACGGGTAGGTAGACTTCCACGGTGAAAGAATAACATCGTGTAATAGAAATCAAACCCGCAAAATTATAATTTGCGTAATTACTGGTGGTAGGACCTCTTGTGAGTCCGTATGGGTAGGTACCACCACCCCGCCTATTTCTGCCGTGAAGCAGTGATGCGTTTCGATTTGAATAGTGAGGCAGCCGTTGTAACTACCTAGTCAGGTCATAAATTCTGTCACATGTTTAATGTAAAATAATTGAAACAAGTTTATTCATTATGTAACCATTCATATACCAAAATGAACTTAACAAAACATAGACTTATGACACTAAAGTTTATTCAAATTGACCTCCGTGATTTTCAATACAGGCCTTCGATCTGCGCGGCCGAGGTCCATGTCAATATCGGCGGCTGCCTTAATCAAGGATGTCTTGAGTGACTCCAAATTGGGATGAGGCTTTGAGCACGCCTTTTCCTCCAAGTGTTGCCATATCTTGTAATCTAACGGATTCAAATCGTCCAAGGAGGGCCAGTCTTCGTGCCGGATGAAGTCAATTTCACGCGCTGCCAGCCAGTCTTGTGTCCTCTTCGCTCTATGAGCTGGCGCCGAATCTTGTTGGAATACCCGGTACCTGTTATTGAATATGGTATGAGAAACAGGTTCCACAAGGTTCTTCAGGACTGTATTTTGATACACAACTGCATTCGTTTTTACACCTTTCTCACAAAAATGTACCTCTGTTAAGCCCCAATAAGAAACTCCCAACCATACCATGAGCGAGGATGGAAAATGACCTCGTTGGACACGCGGAATACGGTTGCTCGCTTCTTTACTACTGTGTGCGTACACCTTGTCATTTTGTTTGTTGTAGCTCTCTTCTACGGTAAAAAATTTTTCATCCGAAAAAAGAATTTCCCGATATTTTTTTCCCGCGTACCGCTTCAACAAAGCGCGGCATCTCTTCAGTCTCAGGTCCATTAGACGAGCATTCAAACGATGTCCTGTTTTTCTTCGATATGCCCGAAGCCCTAAGTCTTCATTTAACACCCTTTTCACCGTGGTTCTGCTTAACCCCATCTGAAGGGCCAACAGTTTCTG